CGTTAGTAATTTCTAATCGAGATAAACACACTCTTATCTGGTTTAAAATAGCTCCAATTCGAACACCTCCAGATAGATCAGTGTTTTAATACATATAGACTTGAAATGCGCCTGTAATCGATAATTTAGTAAATGATATGATATAGATACAAGTATTTTCGCACGCACTTTATTACACTAGATAAACTTCAAAAGCCATTGATGACATTGACTTAATACTTGCTTATTGACAAGGATAGTATCTTTCCATCCTGTTTTATTTCCTGTTTCTACAATGAACTGGCTAATTATAAAACGATGCCTCCTACGACATAGCCTTCGTTTTTCCTTCTTTTTGGTCGATAGGCGTTTTATTGATTCCTAGACGAATTGAATAGAATTGAGTGTGGTATGGGACAGAATGATTATGTCGCCGACCAATCACCATAGCGAAAACAAGGTAACGCGGGCACGAGACTGAGGATTTAGCTGGCAAGAAAATGTCAAACAGTGCATTTTAAACTCAACTCATTAGTCTTCACACGAAAAAAATGTAGTAGAATTTCTTCTAGTTGGGAATCTCTGCCAAGACAACTCGAGTAGCAGATACTTTAACAGTTTAAGTGTGATGGGATCCCAGTCGTAAACAGCTTAAAGACAGCCAGTGGTTTCTTGGTTCACCGCACCTGCACATCTGGAAATTGGGGATTTATGAAAAACTATAACAATCAATTACTCAAGTATTTCGATCTTTGCTCTGGTTTACATTGTCTGGTCTATAGTCCTATTCCTAGCAAACTCAAAACAAAAGTACACAAATAAGACAGACTATCGCTATGATTTAAGACAACCTAACACATAAATTGTTTGTCCGCAAAAGTCGTTATAAAAAAGCTATCGTTTGAATATCCTGAAGAGAGAGAAATAAAATTGTGTCTGGAGCGATCTGCAACTCAATAGATTAGAGAAAACATCTACGGTATCAAAGTTCTCTTCAAACCTTTAAAGATAGATACTGACTGCTTTTACCATAACATGAGTCATCATTTCGTGAATTTAATTGAAAACATTCAAGTCAAAACACAAGTACTAGCAAGGAAGAGATCGGTAAGATACACATTAAAAAACCCAAATATAAATAAAACTTGATATACGACAGAAATGAGAAGTAATTTCTGTGTCGGAGGTGTTGCTCTGATGTATAGGAGCTTTAGGAAGTATTAAGTATTAAGCTGGGCAGAACAGACGTACGCTAATAGACTAATGGTATGATGGATGGTGTGTTAACCCCCGTTCGTCCTTCTCGGTAAAATTCTGCTTACTGCATCGGTTTCTCTAAACGATTAACACATTCCAAGGTGTGCTGGGTGTAGCTTCACAGTTATTATAAAATCATTTTCTATTAATTTTTTTATATAAAAATGCTGATTATGTTTTCCGTCATTATGTGGAGAACATAGAAACGAGACATCTGGAATTCTGTTTACAAGCTATTAAAAACTGTTTCAAAGTGATTTAATATAATAGCAAAATAACTGTTTTTTAAAGCTTGTTTAAAAGAAACGTGTGAAGTGAAACATCAAAATTTGCTTTAAAAACCAGTTTAGGAAGGCTAATTTCGAACTAATAAACTTCCTTCCTATGAACATTTGTATGTCTTCAGCTAAAATATCACCACTACACAAGTGTAAAAAATCACTTGTTAATTGTACGATATGAACTAGTGTACCTCAAACTGACAGTATTAATGTATAACTCATATATACAACCACTGAATAACAAATTTCTATCGAAAACCCGATGGTTGATATCACAGAATTAATGGTGTCACAGTAGTCAACATATGCTTAAACCCGATGTTTAATATCACAGAATTAATGGTGTCACAGTAGTCAATTAATATTTAGACCCGATGGTTAATATCACAGAATTAATTGTGTCACAGTAGTCAATTAATATTTAAACCCGATGGTTAATATCACAGAATTAATTGTGTCACAGTAGTCAATTAATATTTAAACCCGATGGTTAATATCACAGAATTAATTGTGTCACAGTAGTCTATATATGCTTAAACCCGATGGTTAATATCACAGAATTAATTGTGTCACAGTAGTCAACGTACACTTAAACCCGACGGTTTTACCTTTCCGAAGCATCCCATTTCACATTATTAAATGAACAATTTTCCTGTTTTATAGAAGCATAGTACAACTATTTTTTAAATTTTTTCCTGATTACATTGGCGGTTTTAGAGATGAGTACGTATCCAGTATCGGTGAAAACTTTGTTGTCAGTGTAAATATTTGGCAATAATCGGTAAAAAGCATGAAATTAATCTGTCTGGGTATCACACCTACTTCGTCCGTTAGAAGTTTGAGTAAAAGGCTCGCTCTTTCATCTAGTTAAGTAGTATAGTTTGTGTGTGTATTTTTCTCAGCTGACTTGAAAATATTCGTGCTCTGTATCGCAATCGCTAATGTGTTAACCTGATAGTTCATGTTTTTCAAACGTACTTCCTTTCAATATGTTTTGAACCGGATTTAACATTTTTTCAATGCCAAACATTTCCGTGATATAATACATTGTAAGTGAAATCGGACACGCTTTGAAAGTACACAGCTACAACTCCAGATAAAGAGGTTCCAGGTCTGAGTCATAGAATGTTTTCCTGTGGGCTGTGGATCTCGTGTGGTACTCAAGAAAGCACTTGTCACCTTCCAAATAATTCTGTAAGGACTGTGTTAGTGTATTGATTTGTTTGAATATGCTCTGGGAAATTTTGACAGAAACGTTATGATGTTATAGTTTTTAAAATTCTAGATTCGAACTTGGCAACGTCAGGCCAGTTAAATTTTGACATGGACCAGGAAATTACTAGGATTTTGGCTCGTGTAGATTATTCCTTTTAAAGAAACAAAATGTACAAGAAAACTGTAAATATATGACGAAGTTATTGGTGTTAAGACTCGATTTTATAATACTTCAAAGTAATTGTTGTACATGGTTATCAGGGACGCATTGGTGATTTAAAAGAACGGGTGTAGATAGAAAAAATAATAATAAATGCAAAAAGTTTACCCAATAGTAGGGCATTATGACAAAGAAGGCAACTTTTGCCAGTAGCGGTATTTTAGTGCCGGGATAATAAGGACAATGTGGTATGAAAGTGATCATTCTACAGCTTTACTGCTGTAAATGAAAGACAGCTCTACTGATCACAATATTGTCATTGTGATGAAGCAAACACGTCAATAAAGTCTTCGTTACCGATTGTGTTCCCTGTACGTAAAGGTCGAGAAAAAGGTGAATAAACTTTACAACTAGTAAGGCTGTCCCTTTGTAATGTCACAAATGCAGGTGATGTTAACGTGAGCTCATGTATTTCCGATAGACTTCAACACTTTCTAATATTTCAAAGTTGTGACACGACCAGTTTGATTTAATTGTGAGGTTCAATGCAGATACACATGCTAGTTTTAATAACTGAAATGCAATACTAATTGTTACTACAAGAGAGGTCTCTCGTGATAATACCCAGTAAGGGTTTCTTACTTAATCACTTACAATTAATGATTCATAGTAAACTGATTTCAATCTGTTGAATACTTCCAGACACACCATTGTTCGACTGCAACAGAAACCGCTTCGAAAAACATTATATCGAGGCATTGCATAACGTGAAAAAATACACAAAAAATTCATAAAGATGCCTGTTTCCGGATCCTTGCATGCCGAAGTTCAATTTTAGTCTCCCCAGGAGTAGGTAAACGGAAGCAGACGAAAGAGTGACAGACTAATTGCTTGTCAGATTCCGACTGAGGAGTTCCGGACAATTACTTGAGATATAATTCATATGTATGGCGTTTATCAAATCAACAGATATGAAGCACATGTTTCTTGAAGGAAAAATCAATCCTATCGCTCTATTTTATATGCTTTTAAGTGCGAGCCCAGTAAACTGTTGACAGTAAGCATTGCCTCACTATGCATGGAGTCCAAAGTCAAGGATTCCGCGAACTGTGTGAGGCGTCAAAGATTGTCTGAGGAGCGACAATATCGGACAAAATACATATTTTCTATCACGAGTCAGAATATCTAGTAGGTGAACGAAGACTCTACGTTAATCCTAGGCGAGGAAACTTCTATTATAATCAAGTAACTGCTGAATGAAGCTATCCTTGTAAATATCATCTTGTCTCCTGCTTATACACTTAATGCATCAACGTTCCTTTTACTTCAGTTATTCATAACATATGGCGGTAATACTACATGAATTCCGGTATTTGTGAAATTTGTTTCAGAATGTTTATAAAACAGAAATTCGAATGCAGAAACGTTAACAGGAACCATTAACACTAGCTAATAACTGCTATCTTCTCTCATAACTTCAGTAGAGAACAAAGTGAAGCCGGCTGTGAAACTTCCTCTTTACCTGTAGTAATTATGGGAGTGGAGTGCGACGACCTTGGAAGTGACATGACCATTTGAGTAAATATCTTTGATAAACGAATAGCGTAATCCAATTAAAAGGTAAAAATATCAACGTATAACCTACATAATAGTTAGAACTTTAGTATTCATTACAAGCATTAATGGGCCTCTTGATCCATTATAATTAACTTTTTATCCAAGGTTAAACAAAATTGGGAAATAACGCTTGAGCAGAATTAATGAATGTCATTGACACAAGGGCATTTAAGGACGTAAACAGAATATAGAATGTCTACAAAAATTTGAATAGTTGAGATGACGAATACATGAGTTCATTAAGCTGTCACAATACCAACTAAACCTAAGAAAAACCATTCACGGAGTTGCGTCCCGTAGAGACGCCTGAAATTGATAATTTCAAGGGGTGCGGTGGAAATTTCTCTGGTTCATTAACATAATAGATTTTTTTTTTCATTTACTCGGGTAAGTTGATGGAATAAGAAAAAGATTAGTGTATGCCTACATAAGTGATTAGCAATTACGATGGCATAAAGTATCATTAAGAATAAAAAGAATAAAAATTCAAATTTAAAATTTGTCATTAAAATATTTTACTTCAACAAAAAAGCCAGCTCAACATGGGGAAATGATCAACGTATACAGACACAAACGTATTTGTTAGATATAATACGATCCAATGAAAGATGATACCACGTTGACACGTCAGCGTTATAGCATATTAGTATGCGCGTCTCCCAATGATTAAAAAACTAGATTATGTAATCTTAAATAAGAATAAAAAACTTCATAAATATTCAGTTGTAAAACTTGACACTTAATTTGTCCTACTTTACCCAAGTAGAACTGATGTATGTTATTCTCCATTACTTACATAATTTACATTACTGTACAGTTCAATATTGGCACATTTCGTTCTCGACCTTTAGCCGTGTCAAAAGCTAATTACTTGCTTTCGGTGAAATTCACTCCGAATTGGGGGTAATTTTGTACATGATCGATATAGGAGGACAAAGCATGTGCCATTTTTCATCCGCCATTACCAAAATCTATCAAAACATTTATGAATACTTTATGAAAGCAATTATGGTTGTCGAAATAATTGACCAATCATGGCCATCCAAAGTCGATGTTGGTCATTTGGTAAAATTTCTTGTTGAACGGTCTGTAGAAGTCCTGTAATCGCTTTATTACGTTTGAATTCACGTGTGGATGTTTCCTGCCTTTAGTTCCAACCAAACAATGTGGATATTTACTTCCTATCTTATGTATACAAGGAAATCCTCGAGTGTCATTCATGTAAAAATGACTGTCATTGATATATCTCCTCAGCCCAAGAAAATCCTGAAGTTTTAACATCTCCTCGCTTGGACGTTTGACCATATTCTCTCCATTCACAAAATGAAACTGCTCAAGAGGGAAATATCGTAGCCACTCTTCTAAATGTTTTGCATAGATGCCGGTTTTGATGATGGACCATGATGTATCTACTAGGCCTGTGTTATTATCCGACAATGCCATCTGTTCAAAGGGTTTCATGGAAGCACGTTTGCTGGCTACTTGTGTGTAGTCTGAAATAGCTCGGGTAACAGGATCACGCACAATGAGAACAAGTTTCACATCACGTGACATATTGAAGACTCTTTTAGGGACTTCCTTCGTCACAAAGTATCGAGGTGTCTTTTCAATAGTCATCTGCTTGTCGTTTGTTTTGGGCATCAGGTCCCTGTAATTATAATTAGAAAGAAAATAATTTTAGGATTAACACAAAAACCAGTCAAACGATATCAAATTGGCGCTACACATCAAATAAAGAATCTTAAAAAAGGTAAGACTGCTGATTTTTTTTGTTGGAGTGTGGAAGGCAAATTAAGAACTAATAGTTTGAAATTTTGTGTTTTAGACGCAATGCGACATCCTCTGCTTCGATTGTTTTCGGAAGAGGACACCTACTCGTTTAAAACGAGACTTCATGATCGATGGATTGTCCATTGAATCAAGATACTTCACGTGGTAAATTGGCACGGTCTAATATGACGGTGTCCCGTTAGCTGATACCATGTTAAACTTCAATTTTATGTTAAAACAAAACTGATGGAGAGAAAACGATACTAACTTGAAAAAGTGAAATTGCAACTGAAGCAGATACTCCAGAATGATGAATTGTGACAGAGGCCGTAAAATGAAAACAATTTCCCGGGAAACAAAATGTATTATTTCTTAAACAAATTGTTCAAATACCAATAAAATCCTTATCTAAATCAGAGAGAGAGAAACGAGCATTGGGGGACTGGACTGAATAGTGGAAACGAAAAAGCATGGTTGTCTCAATGGAAATTTAACCAAGAAACCCATAGATATTTAATCATAATAAGATGAAGATAATTTAATATTGCATATTTGATTCTGTTGTATCGACTCAAAATTGAAAAATTATGATAGCAGCCGTAATTACACGTCGTAAAATATCAAAATATACTTTTGAAGTTGTATTAGTATGTTGATAAGGACTGAATTATTGGAGTTCAGGTTATCGTCTGTGAGAGATGCATTGTTCCCAAGTGGAATCGTGTAAGGTTACCATAACGTACTGTTGTGTACGATTGAAAGTGGATGTTGTATATATTGAGGTATACAGACTTATCTGAAGCTTATATTTCACGTGAGGTATTGTGTTTCACTATGGATATGAATACCTGTGCGAATGGTAACGATTTCAGTTTTAGAAATTCATATTAAAATTAGGCAATGAATTATTGTTAAAAAATTAACAAGGATTAGTCATTCAGTATATTCAAAGTAATAGGTGAAAGATTTAAGGGTAAAATTAAAATCAATAATATTGTTCGACTTCAATGTTCGTGTGATGTGTAATGACAGAAGGCTGATTTCCTTACATAGAGTTTAGGGGAAGGGGCATTCCAATTTATTTAATCGCCACTGACCTTTCACAATGATTTGTAAGGGCAGCATCGGTAATATGATGATATATTTTTTGTAATGTATACAATACACAACTGGTTATATAATGTGTTTTATGTATATTCTAAAGTATTACCTCACTAAATTGTCGTCACCTAAACGGCAGAAACCAAGCGCCATTTGCTGGGATAAATTCTTCAAATGGAGGATAGTTAGGAAATTAAACGTAAGAAAAGTGGCAGCTGTTCGCTCAGTTTAAAAAGATTATATTTCACAAGACCATGACATTACGCCCTGTTGGCGCCATGTTGATCAACATTACGTCAAAGCTTCTCCTCAAACACACCAAAACAGCTTGATAACAATTATTCAAATGATTTTGATTTTGGAGAAGCTCTGCCGGTAAGTAAACAAGAAAAAAAAATCACAACTTGATTTGAAAGACATCTTACCGGGTGTCGGTATAAAGTCAGAAGATGTGTTATGCCGTGTGTCTACATAAGGTTAGAACATGTGTTATATCGTGTGTCGGTATACCATAAGAAGACGTGTTTTATCGTGTGTCGGTATTCAGTCGGAAGAGGTGTTATATCGTGTGTCGGTATACAATTAGAAGATTTGTTGCACTGTGTGTCGGTATAAAGTTTGAAGATGTAATGTGTTGTGTGTCCGTATACGGTTAGAAAATGTGCTATATCGTGTGTCGGTATAAAGTCAGAAGATGTGTTATGCCGTGTGTCTGCATAAGGTTAGAACATGTGTTTTATCGTGTGTCAGTATTCAGTCAGAAGAGGTGTTATATCGTGTGTTGGTATTCAGTTTGAAAATGTGTTGTGCGGTGTGTCGGTAAACAGTAAGAGGATGTGTTGTGCGGTGTGTCGGTAAACAGTAAGAGGATGTGTTGTGCGGTGTGTCGGTATACAGTTAGAAGATGTGTTATGTCGTGTGTCGGTATAAAGTTAGAACATGTGTTATATCGTGTGTCGGTATACCATTAGAAGACGTGTTTTATCGTGTGTCGGTATTCAGTTTGAAAATGTGTTGTGCGGTGTGTCGGTATAAAGTTAGAAGATGTGTTTTGTCGTGTGTCGGTATAAAGTTAGAAGATGTGTTTTGTCGTGTGTCGGTATACAGTTAGAATATGTGTTATGTCGTGTGTCGGTATACAGTTAGAAGATGTGTTATGTCGTGTGTCGGTATAAAGTTAGAAAATGTGTTTTATCGTGTGTCAGTATTCAGTCAGAAGAGGTGTTATGTTGTATGTCGGTATAAAGTTTGAACATGTATTATGTCGTGTGTCGGTATTCAGTTAGAAGATGTGTTTTTATCGTGTGTCAGTATTTAGTCATTGAAGGTTCAAATAGATGTAACCATGAAATACATCTATACAAACATCTCTGAAAATGATGTATGTTAACTGTAAGAGACATGTCCTTTTTTGTGAGATATTTCTATCAATCTAGATGAGATCATCCCTATAAATCTATGAATTATCACAAAATTTCCTGACTGTACACATGTATAGGTTTAGCAAAATATATTGATATCACTGGGAATTAAACTTAAATATAGTTTAATCTTATCTACAATACTATATTTATTCTAGATTTACTGTCAGAGTCTGAAAATGATGCCTTATAAATCTAAAACGTATAAACATATTTCAATGCCTTTTCGATGCTCCTCTTGGCAATATTAAATAATATCGTAGCTTTCCATTCTGTCAGAATGTTTCTTGGTGAATGAGATGGACTGTACAACATTCGATATTCTATCTGCATAGTAAAGCGACAATCTGTTCCGAAACACTGACTATGTAGTAGAACGATTCCATCTAAAGTACTGGTCGATTTGAAGACAACTAGGTCTAGATTGAACAATTGCTGCATTTAAAACACAAACCGGGAAGTACAATTGGTTAGGTGTAATGCAATGTTATAACTAATGACCTCTCTCATTCACTTGCAGCCGATAAGGAAAGAAAAGTTAATATGTTTAAATTTCAACATTGCACTTTTAATTTCGGCACAGAGTGTAGAAATACGATATAAAAAATTAAAAAGTCACAAAAAATGTGAAATCCCATCTGAATTATCGTCAATGATTGACGCCCTAGAAATATCAACCGTTTTTGTGACATTGATCAGGCTGTATCTTGCCTCCCTTTTGAACTGTTAAAAGTGGGAGTAACATTGTAACATTTCACGTCATTATTAAACATACAATTCCATTAAACAATCGGAATCAGGGTATTATCACAGCGAGGCATTATCTTTCATAGTCATGATTTTGAGGTGTAAATCAATATAAATTGTGTAATAGGTTTAAAGTTTTATGTGTTGTGTGCCTGGCTGATAAATATTTGATAAACTGTCCACTTTTAAGTAGTGTTTTGTTTTAGTATGAAGCATTAAATTTGTTTTCAGATGGGTACTACGTTTGTTTATGGCAACTAGACCGGAAAGGGATGACAAACTCCCCATGAAATTTATGACATCCCACGGGTAATGTCATAACCACCTCAGTTTCTAACCCAACTTTCATGTATATACGGAATTTTAATAAAGCTATACCGCAGTAACAAACCAATAGGAGTAGCGTAATATAACAGTAGATATTAAAACAAAACGAAAGCTTTTAAGTGCACAGTAGTAAAAAAAAAGCCTGGAACAACGACGTATCGATCACGTATTTTGTGTCTTGATCGGACAAGTACTGTTTCCGCTAGTCAACACCATTGGTTTATACATTACAAACCAGAGAAAAAGTGTCGCTGGGCTTCCCATGTCTGTTTACATCCGAATACTGCCAAATCCAATGTTCTATACCTGCTATTAGGGGCCTGAGCAAGTCTACCTCCTACAATCATCGTAGGTCGATGTGACTTTATCAAATAACAACGTTATGTCAGGAAACAATTAAATTTTTTGCTCGGTGGTCGGGATTTAAATCACGCTGAGTTGAATTTGATTAATCATCGATTCGAAGACATGAACATTTATTCAAAATCAAATTAGGACTTTACTCTGGTGTGGATTTGTCTTAATCTGCTGACAAGGTGAGTGATTGGGCCGGTGCAGTAATCGCTGACATTGATCGCTGCCTTATTCTCCCCAGTTTGTACATTAACGATCGATTTTTTTTCTAATTCTACTTCAGAGTAATGCATTCATTCATAAAAACTAACACGCAAGGATAAAGGTACGAAATCAGAATAGCACGTTTGGTACGCTTCGTCAGCAAATAATGCTTCATGGAGCGTACGTCTCGTAATAAAGACAAAACAAAAACGCTGTATTCGATTATTTTATAAGCATGGATTGATAAACTCATTAACACATCAAAAGAAGCGTTCTTAATTATCATATATCAGGTGTCCCGCAATATCCTTAGTTTCCACGGCAGTGTCGGCGCTCATCAGCGCTAATTGACGGAGTGATCCACCGTAAGCCGCCCTGTGCTGAATTACGTGATGGATCACTATGGACTGACAGGGAACTTGCAGGCAACACCCACAGGTATAGAAACTAACCGACAACACCCACAGATTCATGGCAGATCCAAGTCAGAGCAACATAAGGTAGTGTGCAGGGCATTTAATAGGCACTCTATCTTAGTAATGTATTTGAAGGACAAACAAATTTTCATACTGATAAAGCAATGAAACTTCCTTTATTTTACATGAACATCTTAAGAAACAAATTTGTAACTTTTTTTTGTCAGGGATTGCTTTACCGATGAAAAAGTATTTGACAATCAATAACAGCAGATGTAAGAAAGATAGTAAATAAACATACGCATTTA